CACTCAGGTTGAAGAGGAGAGACTTGTGCAGCTGGGCGAAGGACTGCTCCACCAGCAGCTTTCGGCCGCGCTCGTGGGAGGACATCCCCCGGAGAGACATCTGGGAGGCTTGGTAGAGCCTCAGCTCGAAAAACTGCCCCTGGCTGGAGGTGTGGTAGGAGTTGTGGCTGAACTTGATCTCCAGCTGTGCCATCGTCAAGCGCTCGCCCTCCTCCAGCACGGAGAGGTTAAAGTACAGACGCTTCTGCAGACACAGCAGCCTCTGGGGCTGCCCGTTGTGAATGAACTGGCCTGACAAAGAGGGAGAAATAGAGGTGGCGGTGGTTGAACACTGTCAGGCTGAGCAGGATCAGCCTCCCAGTGCCCCCGTTTAAGCTCCGGGCTGCACAGCAAGAGGAAGATGGGGCTGACGGCGGCGGGCAGCCGAGCGCGCCCGCAGTCCTTGGGTGGAGGAGCCAGTGATGCAGTAGGGTCCGTCAGCCTGGTGGCACGGCCTTCAGAAAGGTCTCTCCAGACCTGGGCTCCAGCCTGCGGCACCGGGGTGCTACAGCCCTTCTGGCATCTCCTCCACTCAACATCTTGGTGAGTTATTTCCCCCCCGGCTATAAATATCTCCCCACAAGTACGGGGAGGGGGAGGGGAGTTATGTGGGTGGGATGGAGGGGAAAGGAGGGCAAACAGCAGCAAACTTTCAGAACTGGTCAGCTGGCTGTTGAAGCCAGCCCAAGGTTTCCACTGGAAACCTGGAATCCCAAGAGGAGTGAGCTCCCCGCTGTCTCGAGACCAAGAGGACACCAACCAAACAGCTCCCACGTGACTGCGAACGGCTCAGAGGGGCCACAGGCTGAGGCAGCCACAGGCGCCGCGTGGGCAGGCAGAGGCAGGAGGACAAAAAGGAGGAGGTGGGGGGTGGCAGAGCCAAACGGCCGAGCGTCCCATCCCGGTGTGAAGCTGGGTGCTGGTCCCACTCGCTGCACCCACAGCCACATCACCACTGCCCCAGCGTGGAGCCACCTCCACCACCCCGAGCCCAACGGGTCAAACCAGTCAGCTGGGACCAAACCAGCATCGCTGGGCTGCGTTGGGTGACCCCTGGACAGAGCCTTACACAGCCCCCCATCCTCACCTGCCGCCTCCTCTACCGACTCATTTCCAAACTGTAAATAATTATCTGCAGCATCCAGAGGGACCAGAGTCTACACAGCAGTGATTCCTCCCGGAGACCCACTCTGGGCACTGCCCTGTCCCCCCCACAGCCTCTCCTACCACCACCCATGAGACCAGACGGAAAAGGAAGGATTGGAGCAAAGTCTCCCAGCCCAGAGATCAGAGAGGCTTCCAAAAGACAGGACCCAAACCACAGCGTTTCTGTACCTTGGTCAGCCAAGACACGGATGATGTTCCCAGGGACATTAAATTCCTCCACCCTACAGGCATCCGCCAGGTCTTTGTTTGTAGAAGGCAGTGTCTTTCTCTTCTGGAAGATCCGCCAGAGCACAGACGGCACAGGAATGGAGGTTTTGGGGCTGGGCTTGGCACTCAAACCCAAGGATTTTAACAGTAAACTTTCCTGCAGGCTTAACTCCATCCCCAGCAGCACGCCGAGGAGAGCCCAGGCGAGGGCGGCCCTAAAGCTGGGGAGAAGCCACATTTCTTCCCTCTCCTTCCTGCAGACAAAGAGCGGTGGCCTGGGCTGGGGACGTGAAGACAGGGGCCAGGGAGGGTGTTGATGGCCTGATTGGAGCCTTTGATCTGGTTAGTGCTCAATTAGCACAGAGGGATTCCCAGGATTGGGCAGAGGGTGTGAACGGTCCCTCCAGGCTCCCCCGGGACCTGTTAACCCTTTGAGGCTGTGTAGAGGAGAGCGGCCGCCCTCCTCCCTCAGAGCTCCTGTGGTCTCTCCCACATCTCCACGACACGAAGGTCCAACCGCCACGTCCCTGGTGGAAGGGAAGAGGCTGCTCTTCCCCACACAACGCCACCGGCAAGTCGAGCACTGCTCCCATCCACTGCGGACATCCCACCCAGATCCGGGGTGAGACTCAGATCTGAGATCTCAGGAGATCTGGGGCTCCTCTTGCTCCTGCCTCCCAAAACCACCTTTTTTTTTTTTTTTTTTTTTTTTTCTCTCCTTTATCACAGCATCCAACTCTTCTCTCTCAAGGCCGTCAACTTCCAGCACACCAAATCTTCAAACCCTCGCTTCGGCTCCTTGCCGCACACGCCGCCCCTGGACCAGCACGAAAAGCCATCGGCACCCACCACCGTGGGGTGTCCCTGCCCCGTCACCTCCACGTCGGCACAGCCCCTTTCCCGATGTTACACACACACACATGCACACCCCAACGAGTTACCCAGCTAAGCGCTGAAGCCCGGACGAGCCAGCAGCACCGTGAAATTCAGTTTACCCACACAGGTGCTGACTCGGTACCACCGTTACCCCAACTCTGCTACAACCGGAGCAGAAAGAGACCCGGGGTATGGGTCCCCTTCACTTCCTCCGTCCTGCAAATCCCGCTGGAAAGCCGAGGAACTAAAGCACCGAGATGCGGCGCCTCTGAAACCCCGCGAGGCGATGGCGAGCGAGGTGGCGACATGCCCTGCCACGGCTTGGGATGGTTTCCATCAGCCCAAGTCACATTTTGCTCTCTGGTTCCCGAGGAACTTTCCCCGCGGCTCACACAATGAGCCTGGGGGTGAATCAATAAAACAGACCAAACAAGAAAAAAGAAACAAAACAAAACACCAAAAAAACAATTAACCGTGCTCCGATGCCTGGAATTAAATCACCCCTTCCACGGCCCGTTGTCCCCAGCTGGGAGGGAGCTCCGCTTCCCAGGGAGGACACCGGAGCTGTGGGTGCCGGTCACGAGAGGAGAGTGATGGGACGGTGTTGGCCCAAGGGGCGGTAGAACCCCCAGCGCTCCCCAGCAGAGGCAGCCCAGCCTCGGGACCCAGCACGGGCACTGCCTGGAAATCCACCACGGGGAGCAGAGACCGGTTGCTCTTTACTTGAGCAAGCAGACATTGCCGGGTGAGAGTCTAGAGATCCCTCAGCAGGGGACCTGGCAGGACTGGGACCGGTTTTTTAAGCAACTATAAGACATACATAGGCGTTTTAAGCAAATTAAGTCTCCTGGCCGTCATCCGGCAGGACAGGAGGTTGGAATAGCGCTCCAGGGGTGGGTTTCCAGGCAGCCCCACTCACAGGAACTGTGCTGTGCCTCCAGATCTACATGGGCAGCTCTACTGGTGACCCCTCCCGAGGAGGAAGGGTCAGAGGGGCACCACGTCACGTCTAGCCCCTGCGTGGCAGCTAGAGAAGAGCTGGCTTTGGGCTCCCCTTGCCTGGGACGGTGATGGCGATGGAGGAGAGGAGGTTCCCCTCCCCAGTTCGATGCTGGCTCCGAGGACCCACCAGGGCTGCTGAGGAAGGGTCGGTGGGAGGGTCCAACAATAAAGACCGGGGAAATCTCACAGGGACTGAGAGTAGCCGAGGGATGGAGTGACAGAAGAAGCACCAGGGGACCTAAAGCCAGCTCCAAATCCTACCTGGACCAGCAAAGCCACCAACTGAACCAAGCCTCTCAACCGAACCAGCACGGACTGGCTAGAGAAAGCACACCAGCGTGGGGTGAAGCCTGGTCACCGGCAAGACCCAGGAGGGGCCTGATCCTGTCAGTGGCATCTCTTCCCCGGCTCCGGGCAGGGGATGAAGGGGGATCGGGGATGAAGTTCTCCTTGTGCCTTTCATTCGCTGAGTTTGAGCATCGGGTCCTGGGACAGTCCCCAGATCCAGCCAGGCTGCCCAGGCTGCGGCGGCCGCGCGTCCCTTATAACCGCTTGTCTTTTACAAGTCCATTCTTCAGGTGCATCCTGCGAAAGAGAGCACAGCAGACAGTCAGCCCTCCGTCTCCGCACCGACTCGCCCTCCCTCACCTTCACAAATCACTACTGAGGTCAGACCTGTCCTGACAGGCTCAGGCAGACAGTTTGTCCCCAGTCGGCCGGACCTGCTCCGTGGCACCCAGCATCTCGCCAGACTTGGTGCTCACCACACGAAGCGCAGACGCTGCTCAGGGAGAACAGCCTCAAGCAAAGAGCCAGTCCTACACGGCGAGCAGGGGAAGGGGCGGGTGAGGGCTCACGGGACAGAAAGATGGGCAGACGCACCACCACGCCTGGGCATGGAGATACAAAGTCCTTCCTGACACTTGCAGCAATGATTCATACTCTCTGTCACAGCACCTTGCTCTTCTGTCTTCCAGCCCAGTGGTGAACCCATTGACAGTGGTCCGGGGTCCCGGGAGGTCCACCAGCATCCCCTCCCCGAGCCCACAGATGCCGTACACGTGTGCGATCCCCCCCACCCACATACCCTTCTTTCAGAGCACCGGGCAGCTGCAGTCCAGCCTCTTTCTTCTTGGCCATTGTGGTTTTCTTGCTGTCCTCCACGTCGTACTCGCGCACATCGTTCACCTCTTGCATCTGCCCCATCAGCACCTTGGCCACAAATAGGACGATGTACT